ACTTTTCATTTCGACTTTGACCTCCAAAGTCGAAACATTTCGACTTTTGGGTTTTCATTTCGACTTCATGTATAATTGGGATTCTCAGAAATAATATTTGTTTCAATCTTAATTTTCTAACAAATTTTTTATTACAATATCTATTAATCTTCTTAGTAAGTAACTCCTTAGTATGAAAATCATTTTCAGAGCCAATCTATTTATATAGAATTATCATAAAACTCGATATGAAAGCCTTGCTTTTCAAGAATAGAAATCTTTGAATAGCTGAATATTATCTTGTGTCAGTATTTTGATAGGTTAAAGTAGTCTCATTGTCACTTTTCACTTTTTCTAACTCTTTTTCTGATTCTAGTATCTCAGAAGATTCAGGTAACTTAGATAGTATAGAGGACAGTTTGTTTCAACTTAGTAAAAGGTTTTCGAATAATCATTCTAATATACTAGTAATACTATCCAGTATTCTACTTATTTTTTTTCCAAAGGTTATATATGTTAGAAAAAAGTTTAAAATAAAAATTATTTTATTTAGATAATTAGAATTAGATATTTATCCAAAAGAAACTATGGTAGGATTTTATCATTACCCCTATATCCTATGAAGTGATGTAATTTATAATAAGAGATGCTATCATTTAAAAGGATGTAAAGTTCACTGGAATTCTTCTAGATGAGTTCCTTTTATTAAATGCAAAAATCAACTTTCTCTATTTATAATACTTGTAGAAAATATGCGGATAAGTATCATTTTTGAGAATTTTATTATCAGTATAAGCTTGCAAAAAATTTAGGTGACCGGCATTATGCTTCAACTATAAGCGAAGAATCAGAGATTCTGAAAATATGTTAGAGATAGTTTATATTTGCATATATATATTTTTTACATTTTTTGTTTTGCTCTGCAACTCTGTGATTTATTTATTTTCATATCTTACTTATAAATGCTTCACTTTGCTTTGCAACTCTATTATCTATTTGTTTTTATATCTTACTTATAGATGCTTTACTTTGCTCTGCAACTTTATAAATATTATTTATTTTTAATATCTTATTTACAGTGTACTACTTTACTCTATAATACTGTGAACTATTTGTTTTCATATCTTGCTTACAGATGCTTTACTTTACTTTTCAACTCTATGATCTATTTATTTTCATATTTTACTTACAGATGCTTCGCTTTGTTCTACCTATAGTAAACATATATGGGAACGTTTTCAGTAAAATCAAGTCATGAAGCATAGTAAATCATATGATCTATAATGTGATTTTACTGAAAATGCTCCCATATGCTTCTTAAATTTAGTTATATTATATGTGAAAATTTTTGATACTCAAAAATGAGATTCAAACTTATTTGTGCTAAAGTGTAATTTTATCTTTATAATTAGAAAACAAATGTTTACTGAGCGAATAACAATCAAAAAAGCAAATTTATTTTCTTATGATTACAAGTATGATTATAGTAAGTTTATGTTATGTATTTCTTTTTTGATATTTAGAATGACCTTCTGAAACTATTTGGATGAAATGTATCAAAAATCACATTTTTCTATTATTAATTTCATGTTAAATTTTTTATTAGGTCTTTCATTTGAAATATATTCAACATTATTTATATTATTAATTTTAAAAAAAATGGATTAATAGATCAATATAATAATTTGTAATACTTTTAATTTTAGATAACCGATTTATCAAATCTAAAGATGAGGGACGAAACTCAAAAAAGGCAATTAATAAACAGCCGAAACTATATTAAAACATAGTGAGGGGTACGACGAAACCTGAAACCCAAAATTAGCCAAAACTATATTAAAAATATAGTAAGGGATATGACAAAATTATTTTGAGGAAGTTTCGGTTGGCATCTTTAATCAAATCTAAAGTAATTGATAGTAATCAGATCTTTAAGTAAATATAAATATCTTTTTTTATGTTAATATTTAACTATATGCATTTATTATGTATCTAAATAACTTTCTTATTGATCAAGAGATATGTAATAATATGATAGGAATTATTATCAATATTAAGAAGATTCAATATTTTCTATCAGAGATTCAATATCTTGATCTACAAGCAAATACATTAATTTCAATTCTTATAGAATTCATCATTCATATACTTAAAACTTAATTCTTCTGATATAGTACTTACTTTAAATGGAAATATATTTTCACTTAGATGCCTTTAGCAGATCTCCTGAAATAATTTCATCTTGATTATTCAGCATTTTATGGTTAATCACAAAGTTACTTCTTATTGAATATAAGAGATTGAAGGATATTTCTAACATCTGCCTTCAATGATTTTTATGAATACATGAAATTTAAAAAATTTTTGAAAATAATAATTTAAAATAAGTATGATAAATTTTTTTTTAAGAAATTTTTTTAAATAAAAAATATAAACTATTATTATACTATAGAAATAGAAGTAAAAAAATATCAAAATATTTTAAACTTAATATAAATTAAAATATAACGTGAGTAAATGTGTATTACATTGAAGTAGAAAAAAACTGTATGATAGATAATAAACTGAAAAAAAAATAGGAATTAGGTATTTAATAATCAATTGAATGAATTGGATAATGATAGTAATATCAGTTTAGTTGATGAGAATATCAGCGATTTTTTATTTGTATTTATGTCAAATTTTAAATGAAAAAACTATTCCAAAATTAATAATCAAAAAATAAGCATTCCGAAAAATTTAATAATCTATCTAGTTTATTTTTTTAAAAAAAGCAAAACTTGGATTTTTAATTACGAATTATTTTGAGAAACCATTGGGGTATTTCTTTGGTATAAGAGAAATATTATCGATGCTTAGTTGAAAATATGCTAGTCGATATTACTAAAACGGTAAAATATTATCGTTATCCATTCGAAAAGTTATGATATCCCGAAACGGATCAAAAAAATAAATCGTTTTAAATTTGTACACGTAACAGATTCTTTAGTTAACAACATTAAAAAATTATTTATGAAATTTTCTAAATTGAGGGAATAATCATTTTACGTCAAGGAATTTTTTTTTTAAAATATCCAATTATTAACGGGAATCTAAAATTAATATATTATTATGACTTGCGTCACGTCAATATCCACTAATGTAAAAACCAATTAATTAAATACATAAATTCAAATAATAGACCCGTGAAACCATTTAAAACTAAATTAAGGTAACAATTAGTCCAGAGTGATGCATTCTGTTATGCATAAATGTAAAAACGTGGTATTTTAAACATTTTGATATCAAGTGTACTTTGGCTCTAAACCTTTTCCTATCAAAAAATATTTCCTTTACTTTTTTTTTACCTTTTTTTTTTAAAAAAAAAAATAATAATAATAAGAGGAAAATAATATACGAACGGAAAGGAAAAAAATTTAACTCATTAGTCTCTCTTTAAATATTATCCTTTCATTTATTTCCATTAACCTATAATTAAAAGAGTATTTAATATGCCTTTCTAAATATCTATTTAATTAATTCCTTTATTCTAAATGAAGAAGAGAAGTTCGTATAATAATACTTAATAATTTCAAGTGATCATAACATATTAACCTGTTATAATAAGCCACAAACTCATTCTATTAAAAATACTTATTTTCCTGAAGATTAACGATTTAATCGTGTACCTTAAGCAGTTCTTACTGACAATAATATGTATCCTACTTATTTCTCTCGTAACCAAAATGCACATAAACAAGATGATTGGAAAAATGATAGAAGGATTATTTCTATTCCAAATAATGGAGAAGGTCAACCTTCGTTGAATCAACGACATCCTTTATCTTATCATGATTATAATAATCAATTTATTTCTTCTCAATCACATCCCAGTGCACAGAACAATGGTTATAGTATGGATGAATCATATCAAAAGAAACCTTTTTTTCATCATATTCAATCACATTCAAATAAACCTTATTATAACCGACATGTATCTTCCTCTTCTTATAATAGGAGTTTTTCTTTGAATGCGGTATCAACTACTTCTGATCAACTTAAAGCTCCTCATTTTTTTAATAATAATAAACAACAATCGGGTAATCCAAAGATTATGGTTCAAACCAAAAAACGTCCATTATCTCCAATGCCACCCATTGAATCTATTTCCTCTAAAAATAAACAAAGAGCGTATAACAATGTTGAGTATAATATTAATCCTTTTTCAACGAACAAGAATAACAAGATGAAATTTAATGGCTTCGAAAATAATATGGACCTTACATATACGAACGTTACTTCATCCCGTTCAGCATTTTCTCCTGTAATTAACAACCATATCAGTCAATCACAAAATGAACATCCTACAAATGATCGTAAATATCTTCCTAATAATCGTTTAGCTAAAAGAGAAAAAATTTTAGGCTTTAAACCTTGGCCTGAAACTATTTATAATATGGATTATATTAATACAAGATTTAGTATAAGTTCAAAGTATGAAAATGAACCTTGGTTTAAATCTCCAAAAAATTTTCTTAATAATTTAATTAAAACGCCCATTAATTGGGAATCATTTGGTCCTGATGATAATAAATTACATCGTGCTACTTTGACCCTAGAGATTGGCGGTTCAATTATCGTTGGACATGGTGACGCAAAAACTAAAAAAGATGCCGAGAAAATAGCTTACTTATATGTTTGTTTTCAAATTAAAACAAAAGGTTTAATCTATCATGTTCAAAAATGCCCTTCGACTACTGAAGATTCGAAGAAGCTTGTTATAGAATATTGTGCTAGATTTGATCATGTACCAAATTTTGAATTAATTGGTATTGGCCCTGATCATAATAAATTATGGGAAGCCAGAGTGGAGTTACCTTCGCAAGGTATAATTGGTCGTGGTCGTGCTAAAACAAAAAAAGATGCTGAATTATTAGCTGCTGAAGATTTTAAAAAATTTGCCGCTGAATGTTCTAAAGAAATTTCTGATGAATGTCAAGAATTGCATGGCGGAACTCTCTCAGATTACGAAAAAAATAATATGTCTGAAGATATTGCAAAAGATTTCATTAGATTTTATTGTAAATGCTTTAAATTTAAAAATTCTGGATTTAATTATTATAGTAAAGGACCCGGACATAGTATGATGTGGGAAGCTTCATTGGTTGTTGAAGATGTAATTATTGGTACTGGTCAAAGATCGAATAAGCGTGATGCACAAGCTGCTGCTTATTTAGATGCTGCCATTGCTTTACGTAAAGATTCTCCTGATCTTTGGGAAAATTATGAATTTGATAAATTAAAATCAAAAGATATGAATGCTGTACCTTATATTAATATTCCGATGAGTGGTCAAGCTTGCGAAACATTGAATAATTTGGTGTCTGAATTACAACAAGCCGACATGTTTCATAGAAATGAAGAAATTATCATGGACAAAAGAAAGCAAATGGAAAAAATTCTTGTAAATCGGATTAATAAAAAGGAAAATATTAATCAAGAACAATTAACGAATGGTCTTGAAGAAAAATCTCTTCGAATTTATGAGTCTCATCAAATTTATCTTAATTCTTCTCATACTATAAAGCTTCGCTCTAATCGTTCCCAACTTCCAATCAATTCTTTTGCTAGTACAATTTTAGGTGCAATTGAAAAAAGTCCTGTAATAATCATTGTTGGTTCAACAGGTTGTGGTAAGACAACACAATTACCTCAGTTAATATTAGAGGCTGCAATTAATAAAAATCAAGGTGCTCGTTGTAATATTGTTGTCACTCAACCAAGAAGGATTGCTGCTATATCTGTAGCACAAAGAGTTGCTTATGAACGCTCCGAAAGACTTGGACTTTCTGTTGGGTATCAGGTTCGATTTGAAAGTGTTCTACCAGCTCCAGCTGGAAGTATCTTATATTGTACTACGGGTGTATTTCTTCGAAGAATGCATGAAGAAAATAACGGAAAAGATGCATTAGAAGGGGTTACTCATATTGTTATTGATGAAGTTCATGAAAGAGATATGAATGTAGATTTTCTTTTAATAATTTTAAAAAGAATTCTTACCGAAAGACATCGTAACAATTGTTCTTCAATTAAATTAATTTTAATGAGTGCCACAATTGATACAGGAATTTTCGCTGAATATTTTGGTGATCTATTCGCTAATGGAAGATGTCCTGTTGTTGAAATTCCAGGAAAATCTTATTCCGTTCAACAATACTTTATTGAAGACTTTGTATCAAAACTTGGAACTCTTTATAAATCATCTGAAACGCCTCAATTATATAATAAGGACACCTTAAGATATATTGATCGCGAAAAGAAAATTCTCCAACAAAGGCAATCTCTTCCTTCAAGATTTCTTTCACCAAAAAGCACGATACAAAGGAAATATATTGTAATGGATATAGATAGTGATGAATTAGATAGTCATAGCATTGAAATCGATGACAATGATACATCATCTGTTGGATCAACATCAGGATTAATTGATTGGACAGGTTCAAAACAAACAGAAGAGCAAGCTGATGCAATAATCCCTTATGATTTAATTTCTTTGGTAATTGCTCACATTGTTAATACGACAAGAGAAGGAGCTATACTGGTTTTCTTACCTGGATTGGAAGAAATTATGACCCTTAATCGACTTTTTACAATATCTCCTTATCCACTTGGTATTAATTTTTCTGATCAATCACTTTTCCGTATTCACATGTTGCACTCATCATTACCATCTTTATCACAACAAGAAGTTTTTGAACCTTTACCAAATCCAAATATGAGAAAAATCATTCTTGCAACAAATATAGCGGAAACTTCTATAACTATTCCAGATGTTGTACATGTAGTTGATTCTGGAAAAGTTAAAGAGAGAAGATATGATCAATCAAAACGAATGACTAACCTAGTTACTACATGGATAAGTCGATCAAATTCACGTCAACGTGCAGGTAGAGCAGGTCGGGTACGTGAAGGAGAATACTTCGTAATGATGTCACATGATAGGTACCAAAACCTCGAAGGTTACTCAACTCCTGAGATGTTGAGATCAGATTTACAAGAAATTTGTCTTCATATTAAAGCGCTTGATATTCCAACCAAAATTGAAGATGTTCTTGCACAAGCTATCCAACCACCAGATCACGCAAGTGTTTCGGCAGCTTTAGAAAATTTGATATCATTACAAGCGTTAGATTCTGCAGAAAATTTGACACCATTAGGAAAAGTTTTAGCCATCCTTCCTATGGAACCAGGTTTAAGCAAAATGGTACTACTTGGAGCGATATTTCAATGTTTGGATCCAATTTTAACAATTGCAGCTTGTATGTCATCAAAAAGTCCATTTTTATCACCCCCACAAGCAAAAGAAAGAGTTGATGAAGCTAAAGTACGATTGGCTCAAGGGTTATCCAGTGATCATCTTGCCATATTGAATGCTTATAAAATTTGGCATGAATATCAATCATCAGGAAATTTTCAAGCGGCAAATAAATTTTGTACCGATAATTTCCTGAATAGAAATGGTTTACAAACAATTGAACAAGTTAAAATTCAATTATTGAATCTCTTAGAACGAATAGGAGTTGTACCAAAACATTACCCACAAAGAGATCATAATAATGATTCAAGAGGTTTTGCATTAGGTCCACCTGAATATAATGTGAACTCAAATTGTATTCCTTTACTTCGATCATTAATTTGTGCGGGAGGATATCCAAATATTTCATTAAAGACTTCAAAGAAAACTTATCGAACTCGACATGAAAATATCACATTTATCCATCCAGCATCAGTGAATTATAAAACAAGAGCAATAAAATTAGCGGCAGCTTTAAGAAATGATAGTGGAAGCATGAGGATCGAATCGAATGAAAATTTATTCGCACCTGTAGGAACTCTTTATGCTTACTCAACAAAGGTTAAGACAAGTGGACAGCAAGTTTATCTTCGTAATACCACAAGGATCAATCCATTATCTGTAGTTTTATTTGGAGGTGAAATAAAACTTGGACAACAAAGTAATAGTAATAATCTTTTGCTTACAATTGATGAGTGGTTACAATTCGGTGGTAATGATAAAGTAATTGAATTGGCCAGTAAATTAAAATTTTTCTTGGAAAATTGTTTAGCTCAAGTTTATGAACGATTGGACACTAACGTTAATCATAACAATCCGGCTTCACAAAATAATTTAGCAGGAAAATTAGATGAAAAGGATGAAAAGGTTAAAGATAGACTTATTGAGGGGATTGTTGAAGTTTTGGATCAATTAGATCGTGATTCAGTGGAAAAACCATTTCATTAACGCTATTTCTTTATCAATTGTTTATAGATAGACGTTATGTATACATTATTTCAATTATTTTTTAATCATTATATAGATTTTTTTACAAGGTTCTTTATCTCAAACGTTTTCCTGTACTATACTTTTTAGACATTATACTCATCATCATCATAAAAGGAAATTTATTTATTTATTCATTTTATTTTATCTTCTTTGATGTCAAATTTTATTTACGTTTCAAGTTTCATAAAATAATCGGTTTGTAAATAATTCAATAATAAATCATGTTTAATAATTAATTTAATTAATTTAATTGTCTTAATAATTTGCCATAAATACTATTCATGCCTCCTTTACGTTTTCTTGCATAAGTAAATTGATTGCGATATTTCCACAAACTGAAAATTTTAGCTATAGAAACTTTTGATCTACCCAGCTCTTTTGCAACTAAAGACCATCTGCGACCGTGTTTCTTAATCGATGTAAATAATTTAAACTGATCTTCTACTGTATAACAACCTTTTTTTAAAGAGGGATCAAGCTTATTAAGATATCTATTTCTACATTGAATCGCAGTTCTACCAGGAATTCTTTTGGCGATCTGTTTCCAAATATCATTATCATAATCACCCAAGTGAGAAGATTGATATTCTTTGATAAATTTCAGTAAGAGTTCATCCTCTTGTAAACTCCATTTTGCAGGTTTGCATATAACATTATAATAATGTTTATATAATTGTATAGGAGTTCTATTTGGTAGATAATGTTGGTGAATATATTTCCAATTAATTTTATTACCCTTAAGTAAGGGAACTTCTTTTAATGCTTTTTCTAAGATTAAATGTTCATATTCTGAAAAAATTTTTTGTTTCGATTGTAAAGGTTTTAAAGTATCCCTCCATCTAACCATACATTGCTTCGGGGATCTTGTAATACTCGTTAACAAGGAGGAGGAACCATTTGAATTAATTGAATTAATTAAATTAATAGTTGAAGAAATTTTCTCCCACTGATCTTGTTCGCCAAATTGTTTTACACCATCAGCAATAATTTGATCTTCTTGCTTTGTCCAAGGAAACTTAATTTGAATATTATGCCATTTATTTCTAACATCACTAGGGGTTCTATTAGGAAAATATTTTGAAGTAATCAATTTCCAATTATACATAACATTCTTTCCACCACTATAAGTGAAAAGTAATTGATTTTCTAATGAAGCATCATTTAATAATAAATCCTTTAATCTTTCGATTTCTTCACTTGTCCAAGGTTTATTTTTGATAACAAATAATGATTCTTCCTTATTATTATCTTTGATTTTTTTACTAGTATGTAAAACTAAATTATAATTGATTGGAAATAATTGTTGTTGTTCATTTGAAAATCTTTGCATGTTAATATAATATTGTTTTAATAATGAAATAGATTTTGTTTTCAATCGGTTATTATCTTGCATTAGTTGTAAGTTGTTATTTAATTTATTTAATTTTTTCCAAAATGATTTTTGTTCTTTTGATGTTAATGATATTAATGATGATTGATTTGTTGAACAGATGAAGGAATAATCTATTAAATATTTTAGATTATTTCTATAACGATAATAACAATCTGATGACGACCGATTTGGAAATCCCTGTGATATAATTCCCCAATGTTTCCATCCATATCTTATTACTCTTCTCAATAGAATATTATCTTCTTCATAATTCCATTGTTTATTATTTGTGATTATTTTGCGATGTGGAAGCCTTTTAGTCTGAGAAGGGGAAGGTGAAGGTGATTTCGAAGAGAGTATCAAAGGAGTACCCTTTTTGAGACTGGGTTCGGTTACAATGTTTGTGGTGAAATTGCTGTTGACGGTACTATTGATTTTTTTGGAAAATAGTGAGTTCACCCGATGTTGTGCAGGAGCCCACCTGGTCTTACGAAGTGGCAACATTTTTTAACATCAAATCATTTTTTTTTTCATTTTTGATAATCAGGACTCAAGCTACGAGTCTTTTCCATTTCAGGTTTAGGTTGTGCGTTTATTTTTTGTATAAAAGACCGGACCTGTAGATCGGATCCTTGATTCGTTGTTTCACCAAAATGAGCAAGATATCCATATTTGATTGTTTAATTTTTTTAACGCGTTTCTTCTCCTTCTATAATGTGTAGTGTAATTAATTAAAAGATGGAAAGAATACAAGTAGACGACTTAGACGATATATTATGTATTAAAAATGGAATAAAAGATTTAGTGTCTTCTTATGTACAGAAACATCTTGATGGTAACACCGATAATGAATTAAAATCTCGTGTTACTTCTGCTGTTAAAAAAGTATTATTTATAAATTTTTACATTTTATTTTTTTACATCATGAATGATAATTAATATCAGATTATATATTGTGTATAGTGGATCGATGATACGTTTAAAATGTGTTCCCCAAATCTAGAAGTGAATGGAATGACTTATGATAAAGCGTTAGAAGAGAAAGGTATGTATATGAAACAACAATTCGATCCATATAAACTTCACTTCTAAATTCTTTTCAAATATGACTTTTTGTTTGAATAGATGTTGAACCATTTGATGAAAACTTGTTATCGGATTTAATATCATTAGAATCAGATATTGATGTTATGACTTTAAGAGTGACAGAAAATCGTCGTAATTCACCTGAAATTATTAAAAAAAAATTCGAAGAAATTCTATTATTACAGTCTTTTATGAAAAATCATGCTGCAATTATTGATGATGGTGATATGGGAATTTGTGATATGCAAATTGATTCTGATAATGATAATGATACGGTTATTGCTGGTGATACTTTATCTGGTATATATCTGGATAATGCGTTTAAGTTACGCGTTGAATATATTAACTAACATCATTTTATTTACAAGATGAACTATTTCCTGATCGCGTTGTCCAAACATATGATCGAAGCCTCTGTTTGTTAACAGAATTGAAAAAGGTACATGTGAAATTATATTAACTTAATTGAAAAGAAATTTTAAACACCTTTCATCTTATTTCGTTAATCTAGTCTACAACTGCCAATTTATCAAGATTTGAAAGAGCTCAAACTGTTGTTACAGATATTAATAAATTTAATTCAACCTCTTGAATTATCAATCTGGTATTTATTTTATTAATATGCGATTTTATTCACGACAAAATACGAAAGTTATTATAATCGAATAATTTTATTAATGACAAAAAAAAAAAAAAATTGCAAATATAAAAGAAGATAAATAAAAAATGTAAAAAGGGTTGATTTTTTAATTACATTATAAACAAAAAAAATTATTTTTTCCTTTCTAATATATATATATAATCAAAAAACATCAAATATATATATATATAATAATAAAATATTTTGTTTTTGTTTGTTTTTGTTTGTTTTATATTTTTTTTTTTCTTTTTTTTTTACAATATAATTCTAATATACCGTATATATTATTTAGATAAATATATAAATATATAAAATATATTATATATTTATATATATATCAGAAATATATTCAAAAATTTTTTCCTGATTTATATCTTTATATAATATAATGACAAAATCTGGATTTATGCCAGAAAGGACAATAAGTTTTTTTAATAAATCATCATCGCGAATAGGCTGAGTGGTTTGTTAATACACATTAACAATTATTATCTATACTAAACTACAAAATAATAAAATAATAGTAACGGGAAATATAATAAAGAAGTTGTTGTTATTGTTACAACAATTAATTTAGTTACATAATCCATTGCTATATACTATATAACAATACAATATTATTCTTACTACAAAATATTTATTTTTGGACACATTCCTTACAAAATGATTTTTTATAAATTCTTCATTGGTTAAAGGTGCATCGAATTTTATTGGGTTGGTTGTTGAGAAGATTGCCTCGTTCGCAACATATCTAACATTTGTTGTTGATTATTAATGTCTAAAAATTTAAAAAGAAAAATTATTCATGAATTGAAAATAATCTACAAAATATATAATATATTAAAAAATCATTAACATACCACCAGTATTGGAATTAGCCGTCTGAAATAAATTAGCCATTCGACGTCGTATCAAAGCTTGTTCACTTCCAACTTGTAGGTTTTGTAATAGAGCGGGTTGCATAGCCTGTCGTTGCTGTTGAAGCATCAACGCTTGCATGTTTGGTGTCATGTTAGCCATCGATTGCTGTTGTTGCAAATGCGCTAATGCTTGCATTTGATGCTGTTGTTGTTGTTGAATTTGTTGAAAAGCATTTTGTTGTAAGACGACTTGTGCAGCTGTTTGCATTTGCATCGTCGGTTGCTGATGTTGAACTCTTTGTATCGCCATATGTTGTTGTTGTTGTTGCAAAAGTTGTTGCATTTGTTGTAATTGTAAAGCTTGTGGTTGTTGGGTTGCTTGTGGAGGTCGGAATTGCTGTGCTTGCGAAGCAACAGTTACGCTTGTTGGCAACGGTGTATCCAAAAAAAGCAAACCTACAATTTTTTGTCCGGTAGGATAAAGAACTATACCTCCGTTTGGATTTGGAGCATTAGGAAAGCGAACAAAGGCAGCCTTAATTATCGTAAATAAAGAATTAATATGTTAATTATAACATCATACTGAATAAATATTTCAAAAAAAAAAATTTTTTTTTTATACCATCTTCTTGTTATCCAAAGTTCGCATCAAAATTGCAAAACTATTATTATTTTCTTGTGTAGAGGGTGGGGTCGGGGTTGGCAAAAGTAAAACTCTCGGATTTGAGCTCACAACGTTTACGACATCTTTAACATGATTAATGCCAGAGATTTCCATTTTATCTGGCCAGCATGAAATCATACTTTTTTAAAAAAAATAAAAAATAATAAGTAATTATTGCAAATATTGAGCAACATTTAATATAATATCTTAACGATAATCCTTACTAATCTGTTTGCGTTTGTATAGGCTTCTTATTAGCAACTGGAAAAGCAGTCACTCGGCAAGTAAGTTCGCGCTTTTGCCTAGTTTGTTGATTGCTAGATGACCACACAATAAGGCCATTCCATAATGCATTGATTGTCTTTGAAGAAGGCATACCAGGACGACTTTGGCTACTATTAAATTGAGTTGTAATTTGGCCTGCAGCTCCAGCGGACGCAGTTGAACTTTTTCCTAGAATACTATTAGTCATACTAGCAGTGGAAGTAGAGTTCATCATAGTAGACGCGGGCAATTGTGCACCGATTGTAGCAGCATTCACTGTGCCTATTGAACTTGTAGGAATTTGTCCTCCGAATTGCGCACCAATAGATGTTGACGCGGTAGTATAACCAACAGATTGAGCGTTGATGGCATTGCTCATAGGAGATGTCAACGAATTAAACGCACTTAGCTGTTGTGCAGTAGTTGCAGCTGATGATGATTCAGTACCATTGAGAGTTTGTGAACTTGCTACTTCATTTATAGAAGCTGAAGTTACAAAATTCCCAATTGGTTGTTGGCCAATATTTACTGGTGTTCCATTATGTAATTGGAGCATAGTTTGACCAAGCTGACGTCTAAACACATTCGCAAGATTTTGTTGACTTGCAGCCAACTCATGCTGAAGTATAGTATTTTGTCGAATTAATTGCTGCTGTGCATTAGTAGCCAATGTATTTCTAAAAAATTGGGCATTTCGAAATGGTGGTGGATTTTTAAAATTAACATTAGCTATAAAATGTTTACGTTGTTCTGGTGACATTGCAGCAAACTGCTGTTGTACATGCATATTAATTGGCATAATGGAATTGGGATATTTGACTCCTGGCATATTCTGTTGAGGACGAGCAGCTATAGAACCTGGTATAGATTGTTGCTGGATAAATAAAGGCTGCTGAGGCGGCTGAGATATTGCTGTAGTAGAAGCAGCAGATGATTGCATCTGCAATGCAGTAACAATGTTCGAAGCAGCCTGATTAGCAGTTTTAGCAGGTTGCTGTATATGAGCAAGCGCATTCGGTGAATTCTGTACAGTATTTGTATTTGGTAATGTAGCATTCGTAACAGCAGGCGTCTGTGACATAGTGACCTGGGCTGGTGTCGTTGAATTGACGACAGGTGGTTGACTACTTGGATGCTGATGAATTGGGGTAGCTGTTATCTGATCTTTCTTATTTGATGCCGAAGCCTGAAGAGGTTGCGCAAGTGTCGGTAACCCATTAGAGGCAGAGGACTGACCTTTTACAGGATCTTGTGTTGGTTCGAGTTTTACTTTTTTTTGTTTGTCAACCGTACCTATGGAACTCGTTGAATCCTCACGTTTCCTCTTTTGTGCTGTGGACACTTGATTTTTTAAAAAAAAATTGGTTTGAATTATATCAATTGATAAAATTTAAGAATGTATCGTTTTATCAATTCACCTTCTTTTGGATGTGTAAAAAGAGGCTTGAAACCTGCTAACTTCACAACGTGAGATGAATTTACTACATCTGTTGCATTATGAACTTCAATGTCTTGATTGACCTTTATAATAATTAAAATAAATGAGAAAATAAAGCTCTGAAAATAATAAATTTATTGAAATTAAACGTAAAATGCTTTCATATATGTATACCTCTGTTACAAGCTCTTCCAATTTCGTAAAATTTTTTTCTGGAGTTATTAATGAAAGATGAATATTTTGCTATATAGAACAAGAAAACATATAAATATTAATACATCGAGCGTATTAAAACCTAGAAGCTTTACATTACTTATACAACATACTTTTTGCATCTCTTCTACAATTTGATTCATAGAAAATTGATCATACTTCTCATCAATATTTCGATGAACGAGATCAGGACATGGGTGACTGTTAGATATGAGAAGGCAATGCTTTCTTGGTTCAAGTGTTTCGGAGTTCGTTCGACTTTTATATGCATCAAACATCTAATGAAACGGGTATTAATATTAAAAAAAAAAAAATTTTGAACGTGTACAATTTATATTTACCTCTAGCGCAGCAACTAAACCTTCAGCTACTGCATTTTCTCTCATACCGCCGTCCTCGAATTCTATGCTTGTTATAAGCTTTTCGAATTGTGATAAGTTCTCTTCAAAATAATATGTCGTAACTGGAGACCGCGAAATAGGTTCATAGTTCCCAAAAATAACAAGACCACACTTCAACTTGGGCTATTTAAAATAAAAATTAAGCATGATAAATATCTTACCAGATGAAAATTTTAATTATTTAATTAATATTACCGTAATTTTTTCCTTTTGAATTTCGTTCTTATCTTTGTCCTCTTGCTCTATTAGAATAGGCAGTTTCATATGTCTGAAAAATGGTTGTAAAATTAATTATTAAATAAAATATGATTCTATATAGAGCGTACAAAGATTTATCATTAAATTCTATAAACAAATAAAACCATTTTAAATTTGTCTTTATTACTTACTTGAGTATAGGCTCAAGGTAAGCCTCAAAAATAGTTTCAAAGTGGTCCTCTAAAAGATAGCTACCGTCTAGAACGATGATAACCAAACATTCTAAAGATGTTTCTTTATTGATCTTTTGTGGCATTTTTTTGATTTTACCGTTAAAAATTGAAAGGTCTCTTTTTACGGTATAAGTAGTAGTATGTTCAAAACACTGCAAAAAAAAAATATTTGAAAATGATAAAGCCGCACACAGGTTATATTTAGTGGAAATGGCTGTCAGTAAAGAATCTGACCAAATAAAGCGTAAAATAGGAATGTTACACGAACAATTGTACAAATATTTTATTAAGTAAACTGTAATACATGGATAATTTTAAATTTCTAAAATAAATCATTTTTAGCTAATTTTTAATAATCAGATCTAATAATTAAATATTTATTAGAAATATATATTAATTTATATAAAAATTTAGAATATTAATATTTTAACATAGTATCAAATAATTTTAAATGATATTAAAATGATTTAGATATTTACTATATAATCATTTAAAAATTTATCATTTGCCAAATAATAAGTGATAAAATGATATATATCATCCTTAAATGTTAATTACATATCATTTTTATATCTAATTTACTATTGACTTTTTTTTTTAATTCCTATATCATTTGATTTATTTATAAATTAATACTAAGATTTAATAAGTTATACTTTATTAATTTTTATGTAATACAAAATAATTTTTAAAATTTATTTTAACATTTATGAAAAAATAAACTATTATACTTTTGAAATATTATTATAAAATAGAATAAATTAAATTTATTGCTATAGCATTTTATCACCAGTACATCTGTCAGAGATTTTTTAATATAATTATATTAAAGAATCTTTAGTGTGTTAGATTTTTAAGTATAACCATTCTATATAAAAAAATTATTACACAATTATTAAAATATTTTTTGAAGGTTTTTCATTAACTTATCTTGTAATAAATTATGAATAAAATAATTAGATAAACTTTAAGCTTTTACAATAAAGTATTATAATCTTAATTGAATTCTTTTGAATTTTACAAGTCTTATATTTACTATTTACCTAGCGAAAATATGTCTGAAAAAAGTAATATGTAAAATACCAAACTACTAAATCATTTAAATTTTATTTGTTGAACGTAAAAAAAGAAAATGCTAAAAGTAATAATTTAGTGAAGGTAATATGAATGAAAAGCATTGTTTTATATAATATATATATGTATTTGGTAAAATATCCAATTAAAATGAGATTTTAAATAAGCAAAAATCACAATTTAGGAGGAAATAGAACTATAAGTGAGTAGAAAGTGACAAATAAGAAAGTAAATAAGAAAAATGTAAATATAATTGATCTTACTGAAGCTATTAAGGCAATAGCAAAAATATTATATGAGAGAAAATATTTAAAGAAAGAAAATCTCATATATATATTTATACATTTGATGAATTGCAAAAATTTCTTTAAGAAATTGAACTGGATTTAAAAGATTTTTAGTGGGATACCACCATATCCCTTAGTTTGTAGGGTTTCACAGGCAAATTTGCCTGCTTATTTACTATAAGTTCTCTTCTGATTTACTTTTATAAATAATTAATATTTTTAAAAAAATTTTTTTTTAAATTAATTATATAAATATGTAATATATTATAATAAGTTTTATCTTTTAATTATATAATAAAAAATGT